ATCTGAAGGCGTGACTTATCTCCAGGCACAGCTGCCAGCACGCTCCACGCATGCCACTGATCCCCACGCAGTGCAGCTTACAAAGCACGACGGGCAAACAACTCCATCCCAAGAAAGAGCGGCAGCTACGCATTCTGGACCCCGCCCAAACGCTTGTCACTGTTTTGTTTGCTTCTTCTCATGTGACTTGCGTAATCCGCTCCTGCCAACTCGCCAAACGTACAGTTCCACTGTGTATTATCTTTCATCATCTCTTTTTTCTTCGGCCACTCTGTCCTTTGACATTCCTGTACAATTTCCAAGGTGTCCTTTCGGTCCGAATCTTGGCACCCGGCATCTGCTGGTGTGGCATCTGGCTGCCATTCTGCTGCAAACTCCTGCAGCAAACGTCGACGGCACCGCAGAAATTGAATCCTAAAGTTCGCAGCTTCTCGCCTGTGATATGTCTCATATGGACGGCAGCTGCTTGACATCCTCCAGGGGGTTAATGACCATCCCTACAATGACCATGGCTCGCATTTCCGCAATCTTTGATTAAGGTCCCATGGATCGATCGCCCTTAAGCCTCACCTACCTCACATTTTCTCAAACTTGGGGACCTCACAACTGGTGATTCTGTTGGCTGCCGAAATCAAAAGAACCTAGATGCGACCAATTTGAGACACATCCATCTCGCTGGAAAGTCTCTCAGTTCAAGACCGAGCGTCAATGAGAGCTTCCCTCAGCGCCAGCTCCAGGTCATCTAGGAGCTCGGGCTCGTGGGGCAAGCCTATCAAAGGAAAACAAAAATCTGAGCTCTGAACAAACAAATGGACACACACACACACACACACGCGAACACACACACACACACCGGTGAAACATACACATACACATACACGTAGACAATTGTACATGCTATGCACGTCTAGTAATCTCAGCTGGTTGAGCCCCGAAGCTCCAAATCTTCATTCTAGCCACGCAAGATCACCTGTCATGTCCCAGTGGGGCAACCTCAAACTACAAGATGGTTCTAAGAACATGGTGCCTGTGCCCAGCTCCGAAGCTCATCCTAAAACATGCCGGGGCCACACGTTCCAACACAAACCCGTTGATAATCGCGTGTTGGGAAGCTACGAAGAACCACCATGTCTAAGGCAGCAGATTCAATTGGGATAAACATGCGTTTGCCAAAGCCTCGGACTGCATCTGCAGATTAAGCCAACATCAAGCTGATTCTCGTTAGTCCCTTCCCTTCTCCAATGACGGCCTGGTTTTGTATGCCGTTGCACTGCCAATGCGCTCAGCGAATGTTCAACCATCAGTCCACGAGTTGCTTCTGCCAAATTCTTTGCTTGTAAGCCCGATCCCTGCTGATGGCATCAGGCAAAAAACGACATTCGTTTGGAGAGTCGGCCCTGTGTATGGTCCTCTTCCCCCTCCCGTGCCCGCGTTTCAGAACAAACTCACTTGATCTGGTTGCTGGCGTTCTTCTGCAATGAGCACAGACATTCCCAAAGCAACGAAATTGTCCAGATCGGTTTGTCTCGAAATTGCTAAAACCCTTCTTTGAATGAACATTGAGAGCCACAGGAAACCTTTGCCACCTGCAGGAATTGGTCTCATGCTTGACAGCGCCAATTGTCTCAGCACAACATCCGAGTGCCTGCATTGGTGTCAAAACCGGATAACTAAAACCCCAAACTGACAAGATGGTAACTCACAGCCTGAGGTTGGGCCTAAAGATCGACTCAGCGCACCTCCAAGAAAGACCTCGCACTCACCCGCCATCCAGGCAGTGCTCTCCGCGCCATGCGGACAGACGCGGATTTCAACCTGTGACTCAACTTCAGGCAATCTGAAGCACGGAACCTGGGAAGTTCGAGGCCTTGTTGTTTTGCGTAGCAGCGTCTGGGGGTCTAGTGGTGTTTGGCCGACACATCTGCAATTGTCTGTTCAGCTCTTGTGACTCCTGTGCGCAGATAGCTGGGTGAAAGTTCGACAGAGAGCGAGTTTGCCAGGTGCAAAGCCGGGGCAACGCTCAGCCAGCTGTGCAAGCGGCGACGCCCTTCACACTCCATAGAGGCTGGTGCCCAGCGGTGAAGCCAACGGCAATGGGTGCCGAATGATTCAACAGAAGGGTCCCTTTTTGGCTGCGTTTGTCCAAAAATCGGGAACCCCAAAATGGCTCGCCGATGATAAATAGAACCAAGGACTAACTCGTGCGGTCCCCTGGTTTCATTTTGACCCAAACCCATTTCGTGCCCTCTCGTTGTTTTTGTAAGGTGAGCCCTCTGGCGTAGTTGTTCCCCATCCCCGCAAAACAATAAAGGCGCCAGCGGATGGCTACCCTGCGCAGGCGTTTCTGGAAGGTCACGTGGCCAGGATACCCAAACCTCCGTGCGCCGGGGGGGGGGGGGGGAACATCAAACGTTTGGGGGGTGGGGTCGCATGAAGGGGGGGGAGGGGGTGGGGGGGGGGTGGACGGGAAACGAGAAAAACCAAGAAAAAAAGACATACC